TCAATACAAACTTTTGACTAAATGCTATTGGAGCACAACCACACCTAACCTTTCTGGTTTGCACACAAATTGCATTTAAAGACAAATTTAGAAATGGAACTTGTTTGTAATATAGGGACTGCATTTACCTATTCTAAGTTTCCATATCTTTGCTTGTGAAATGAGATACTTCAGTATACACCTAAAAAGTTGCATTTTTCCTTTTTGAAAATTTTGTATTTCTGGCAAATATTGGATGAATCATAAGCATTCGGTAAATATGAGCTGCCATTTTTACCTTTTGTTATTCACATTTGAATTCTACTATGTACCACACTGTTTATTACACATTAATTTACACAGAATTATATGTTAAAATATTGAATGGATGACTAAGAAGTACCCTGAGACAGGGAATATACATAAATATATATTTGTTTACCATGTTAGGCCATGGATTTCATGTGCCACTTGTCCATTTTGTGAGTCATTTGGACAGCCACTGGGAGAAGGTCTTCTCTCTAACAGAGTTTACAACTAATTGGGAGATGTTTCATTTCCTGTCTTGAACCTGGCATTGTCACATGAGGAAGAGGGTCGATATCATAATGCCTCATTTGTATGTTGACAAATGGTGATGATTTCTCATCCCTGCCCTCTCTCCCCTGGTGAGAATCCGTGGAAGCATTTCTTTCATAACCAACTGGTACTAATGTATTTTCAGCTGTTCTGCCTGAAGAGGCAGCTAGCCCACAAAGTGAAAGAAGCAATAATTATCTGACTGAGAAGACTGCTGAAATTAAGCCACAGGTTCTTTCTGTACCCACCAGGAGAGCACAGAGTTAGCCTTTAAAACGTGCTGACTCCCTGTGGCTTGAAACTGATATTCTTTAAGGACTGGGCACTGAGGGGTTCAATCGCTCTACCTTTGTTGCTATTTAGCACTTGTGGGTATGTGTGTGATATGTTTGGTTTCTGACATGGTATATAGACTGTCATGATTTAAGACAGTGAATTCAGTGATGTCTTTCAAGAATATAATTGCAATTTCAATGAAGGCTTACTTTTGTATTTCCAGTATATTAAGCAGGGGGAAAAATCATCCTTTTGAAAAATATTGTTGTGGTTAGGTGCTGTGTTGTTGTCAGTTCCGAATCATAATGAACATAAGACAAGAGTGGAACATTCCAGGTTGTGTCGCCCTCACAGTCATTGCCACTTTTGAGCCCCTGTTATAAGCAATGTCCATCTGCTTGAGAGTCTTCCTCTGTTTTAATGTCACTTTACTAAGGATGGGGTCCTGCCTTAGGGGCTTGTCTCTGCAGATATGGCTCTTCTCAGTCCTCTGATTCCTAAATTTGAGAGGTTAAGTAGATCATTTTTTGGTCACAATAGGAGGAAAACTGAGATTTTTCTAAGAGAAACAAGTAAATATGAGTGACCAAAGTGAAGTCAGAGAGGTCTCCACTGATAACTCCTCACAGTGGCTGTCTTCCTGGAGACACCAGATGTCCATCTGGAAATGATGCTATCTTGACTCCTCCTGCTCTTTGGGTTCGACAATGCTCTGAATGGGATGTGGACACATTCATCTATTGTGCAGCCGAGAGAAACCTGCAGATCATCAAAATAGGAGAGATAAAGGAAGGGAGCCAATATCTCCCATCAAATAAAAGAGAAGAGATAAAACATGGAGAGGAGATCATAGCAATAGGTGTATTGTTCTTATTGCAGATATAGATTGGCTTGGAGATCATGGTGTAGCAGAACACGATAGTCCTTAGTTTATACCCTTCAATGTAAACATTAGTTTGCCTGAAATTTCTGCAGTTGTTTCATATTTATGCCCATTATTGTGGCTTTTATGTGGGAACATTGTCTCAGGTTGAATTTTCTAGTGAAGCAAACCTAGTGAAGCTGATATATGTACGTACAGAAAGACGTTTACCTCAAGGAAATGGCTCACACAGTTGTTTTAACCTGGTAAATTTTAAATCCAGGGATCCGATGTCAGGCTTGCGATTTCTCTTGATGCTCATAGCTAGAGGGACTGATTAACTGAAGTCTAGAAGATCAGGCAGCAGGCTTCTCGGTGAAAGACTCAGAGATCAGTAGATGAGGTGACAGGCTGCTGGTGGATGTCAGGCCAGTAGCTCAAAGCTAACAAACCGGAAACCACATGACACGTCAGATGCAGGATCCAGACCAAGCAAACAACAAGCAAGCTTTGTCCGAACATCATCATGTAATGGAAGTAGGCCACACCCCTGAGGAAGCTCTTTCAGTTGATTGGCAGCTCATAGCAGATTTCATCATGGAAATGATTACATTCTCTTAGCTCTCATTATGGCAAAAGACTATGGTTTCAATTTTTACCTTGAAACCAGTGGGAATACTAGTTAAAACAACTTGACCCAGAACTAGAACTATCAAAAACCCTAGCATATATTTTGTCTGGTTTTTTTGAGCCAATGGCCTCAAGTAGAGGCTTTATTCTTCAGAAGGCTGTGTTCTACTGTGACTCTTGTAGATGACCTAGCTTAGATCTTGGATCCTTTGAGTTCTAATTGAATGATCTTCCCAGGATACAATTTCATCAGCTTTACAACTGAAAATTTAAAACCTACCTTGGGGATCTGTAGTAAATGTTCTTGGTATCATTCTCAGAATTCTTAGAAAAGGGCCAGACACATGGTGAGATCTCAGGATAATCTTATTTATTTTTACTATTATTATGACTAAGGGTAAACATCAGTCTCTCCATGTCAATGGTATCAATGGATACCACTATGTAATTGATCTAAGCTCCCAACTGCTACTTTTCAATTAATGATATGGCATCGGTGACTGACAAATTATCATGAATTATTATAAATTATTTCCATTTATCAGCACTTCTTATTGCTTTCAGTACTCATGTTTCAATATCTATAATTTTCTTTCCTACAGTGTGGTACACCGTAGGTGTTTAATTTTTTCTTCCCTAATAATAACGCTCACAGTTGACCATCTCAGAGATGCTAGAGCAGCTACAAACAGAGAGTGATCCTTTAAGAGGACAGAATGCTTAACAAAACTATATGGAAAACAAACAAACATGATGCATGAACCTATTCATAAATGGCTATTTTTTTCCAAGATGAATTATCCAATAGTTAGATTTCTAATCCAGTTGAAGTTTCACTATTTTTAATTCAATAGAAAATGACGATTAAATACTGAGGAACAAGAGGAGTGAAGTGCAGCATTTGATGATTGTGCTTGAGGACTGCTTTGGCTGGGCTTTGAACAGTAATAAACAGGATCAGAAGATAAACCCGAGTGCTGAGACAAGCTTTTGAGAACAAACCTTTGGGTGAAAACAAAGAGTTAAGTTTAGAACCAAGCGATCTACAGGAGCTAGTAACTTGAAATGAATGACATGTCAAACCTGGGCCATGAGCAAGACAGCAACAGCAGACACCAGAGGAAGGAGCGAATTATAAGGGACAGTCCATTTAAGATAGAGGGAGCTTTGTATGTGTCTCTTTGTGGAGTTCAAATATCAGTTGCCAGCTGAGTGCTTAAGGGATTGCACCACCTAGGAACTCCGAACAAGACCAATCATCTGAAGCTCAGAGGAGCATGGTGTCTTTTCTGTTATCATTAGGAACAAGTCGCTTCACTCCACTGGAATTTATAATTTTCCTCATTATATAATGCAATGCATGGTGTTTGTCTTCCTTACCTTTCAAGGTTCTAGTGATATTACCAATAATAAAGTACTAGGTAAATGATGTGGTAATAAGTTAGAAAATGATAAGGTAGATGTAACTCACAAAGTACAGAAAATACAAATTTCTAGATGTCTTTGAAACACTGACATGAGCTTCTGAAACTGTATTCCAAAAGACAAGCAAACCCCTTGTTGCTAAGTTGATTCTGATTTCGGAATACTGTAAGATGGGGTGGAATTGACCCATCGGGCTTCCAAGGCTGCCAATCTTTATGGAGTGGAGCAACAGTGAGCTGCTGGCTAGTTCAAATCACTCTTCAGTCAGCAGCCACGAGCTTCACAAGGTGTCCCCAGAACCCCGACCAGCAATAGGCACAGCATTTGAGTATGTGGCAAATAGTAGATTCTTGTCTCCACTCTCTTTAAGATGCAGACCTGACAGCCCAGGAGATGATTAACCAGGGCCTGGTGCTCAGGAAGCAGCTGTCCACACCTGGCAGAGCCTGACAAAATGTTAGCAATCAGGTTAACAAAGTAGCAGTACAATGGCCTATCAGTGGGGGGAAGGATATAACATCATTAGGCAGAACAATTCATTATCATAGGTGACCAAGGATTGGGATTGGGGCTGCATGTTGATGTGGCACAGCTCACTGAAGGTTTGTGAAACCATGCAAACAGTGGATGCCAGAAAGCCAGCTCCTTCTACCCCACGCTCACCGTGGACTTCTCAAACTAAACCGGAGATGCCATTCATTTTTCTTAAGTCCTTCCAACTCTGCTTTAACAAGAGATTGGGACTTCCTTATTTCTGTATGTATTTCCCCTGTCTGCTGCCATGACATTTACAAAACCACCGGGGTCGAGTCACAGTCATGGGAATAACAGGTGTTTCCCAAGTTTTCTCTCTTGGGGGGAAGCAATTAATCCTTTACAAAATCAATTTTCTCCTCTTTGACTAGATCAGGCTATAACTGTCTTTCCCGAGGCCTCCTATCTTTCCAAACTTGTTTTCTTGCCCTAAGTCTAATGTCATTCATAGATTATCATGAGAGATCACTTTTTTATACTTACAAATAGGCTACAGTGCCCAAAGAAGATAGTGTATTTATGATTATTTGTCAAACTACACAATAAACATTTAATAGATAGATTTCAGCTATGTTCCACTTTTGCTAATTATTTGAAAAGAGCTTAGGGTAGAATAGTTTGATGAACTCTTTTAGCTTTAATTTCTTTCCTACTAGAATAGTAATTATAAGGAGACAGACCTCTGAAACCCTCTTTCATCTTGTTACTTTCACAGACTTTACATGAATGGGAATCTGCGTGCACTCTGATGATCTTTCTGAGACCGTGACTGGCCAGAAAAGGCAGCAGCTCTCAGAACGAATCAACATGATGAAACCCTGGTTTGGAGTTTTATCCTTCATAACGATGAGAAAATAAATGTGGGTTCTTTAAAGCCGTACATATACTTGGTTATGGCAACCCTTGGTGATTAATTAATTAATAACATGGACAGAGGAAAAGCAAATACAGTCATTGACACCATGACGTCACTTCAATTTAGACTCTCTTTATAAAAGCCAAGCATGGTTTTTACTTTGTGTCAATAGTGGAATTTTCCAGACAGTGGATTTTGAGGTGAAAGTTAGTGTGTGGTGTGTTGGATAATTCTCTTGAAATCAGTAGTCATGGAACTGAAATGAAGAAATCAGGATTGGAAAGAAGGCGAGGGCTTGGATGAAATAAATCTATAGTTTTAGTTGATCACACAGACAAAGACAGAAGTTTCTATTCTGTTTCCATTCCATTCAGATTTTCCCCACACAGTGAGTGAGATCAGGATGTAGCCAGTTCAGTCCGTGGCAAATTAGAGAGAGTTGCACAGCTGTATAGAAATGTAATTTCTGTTTAGACAGTTATCTTTTCAAAGCCATTCAGGTCTCTACCTTTAATCATCCTTCCCCTTGGCATATGGTTTTATGTTTCCTAAACATTATCATACTTTCCCCAACATAGTTTGTGAGTTAGGTAAAGCAAATGTTATTTCTGTTTCATGGATAATAAAAGAGATAATTTGTCCAGATTATTTTTTAATTGCTTCTTCCTTATGTGGCCTTCAAGTATATAATCTGTGGGACTTTGCTTTCTCTTCAACAAAGTGGAGGTGAAAATACTTTATTGGCATAATATGTCTTCCTAACTTTGGGATCTATAATTGCATACCTTTCCTTTCTATATGTTTGCTATCAGGAGAAACCAATCAAAGCATCTGTGATCTGTAGATTATTACTCCAGTGCTGTGTCTGCTCCCCTGCAATGGCGTAATGGGACTGAGGTCAGTGATGGGATTATTCTCTGATATCAAAAGAAAGCAGCTGCCTGTGAAAAAATGGGGATCCAATGTGAGAAAATAGCCTTGCTGGACAGATGTCTTTGCAGCATTTGAAATTGCTTGAATAACAATGAGTAATATTTTGGGTTGCATGTGTCCAGTGATGTGTTTCTCTTCCAAATGAAATAATTTGTGGTTCTAAAGTGGAATCACATGGAGCCGAATTGGCAGGATTCACTGCAACACTCATGCCTCGGTTCTCTTGATTGTTGGCACAAGCCTTTTCGGAGATGTCCGTGGTATTGGCTTTAAAATTGGCTTAGTCTACTAGTGAAAGGGATCATCTCTGACATATAACTCATGATTTGCTTATTCTCAGAATACATTCTTTTCTTCTTGACGTTTGGCGATACTCTTCGTAACGAAGAGGCTTTGCAGAAACACTGTGTACCTGTAGCAAGCATCCTTTGCTCCTTCTCAGTAAGCATTATTTTCAGCCTGCCAATTTTCTGGCAATTTCAGCCAAAATTTAGTCGCCAAACAGATTACCTGAGAGTGAGGCCCTGGAGCTGGTCCAAGTGAGGCCTCATCAGCATCCAGCAAACAGGTGCAAGGTGAGTGAGAAAAGAGACAGAGACTTGTGGGAAAGAGTTCTGATCCAAGAAGAGCAATGAAGCAGAAAATCAGGACAGCACTAGGTTGTTTGGCCCCAAATTTCATATACCTTAACAAGTTTTATTATGATAACATGAGGCCTCCTGGTATTCTTATATGTGCTTTTAAAACATACTACAGTTCTGACATTTCTGGAACCCTGGCTGTTTGGTTTTCAGAAGTAAAAAGGCACTGTGCATTATGACGGTCAATTGTAAGACGAGAAGGCTCCTGGTGCCCTGACAGGAAAGACAGGGCTGAAAGCGGGAAGGGGAGACAGAGCAGCTTGGCTCACGGTGCTGCTTTTGTTCCTGAAAACTTGTCTTGGAAGTTTGAGCTATTAATGGCCTCCCTAAAACATTCTGAATTTTATCCAACGTACCCTGTTGTATTTTCTTTCTTTGTGCTGGGTAATTCTCCTTTAAAAGTCTGCACTTTTTAATCTGAAATATCTCTGGTGAAATTCTTAATTCCATATTTTTTATTAAACCCCATCATTTTAATTAGATATCAGTGCAAATATAAATGAATGCTGCATTACCCATCATCGGAAGAAGCTGTGTTCTTATCACAAGTCAGGAAGAGAATGGATACTGAGTTCCAACTCTATTCCTTTTTACTGTGCTGTACAGTAGACGGCCACCAGCTGTCTACCAGCTTGACATAGTGTAGAGGGTTATGTATGTCTGTGATGTTGGAAGTCAAGTAACTGGTATTTCAAATGCCAGCAGGGTCACCCAAAATGAACAGGTTTCAGCAGAGCATCTAGACCAGTGGTTCTCAACCTTCCTAATGTCGCGACCCTTTAATACAGTTCCTCATGGTGTGGTGAACCCCGATCATAAAATTATTTTTGTTGCTACTCATCACTATAATTTTGCTACTGTTTTGAATCATCATGTAAATATCTGATATGCAGGCTGTATTTTCACTGTTACAAATTGAACATAATTAAAGCATAGTGATTAATCACAAAATAATATGTCATTATATATTGTGAGATATTTAGTTCTAATGACAAATAAATGAAATTTTGTATTGAAGAATGGTGTACCAGGTGCCAGGAAATTTGTAAGAGAGTGACTTGGCCAACTGACTGAAAGAGATCTATATTTGTATCCGTTATAAAGAAAGACGAGTCAACAGAATGCTGGCAAAATTTACATCTTCACACCTTAAAACAGGGTCAGCATGAGTTGCAATCAATTCAATGGTAGTAGTTGTTGCTGTTCTTTCAACTGCAACTGATCAAGTTACAGTTGAAACTAACCGATGGCTTCCGCCCTAGTCCCAGCAAGTGTTTTGTATGTGGTAAGCTTATAATAAACGTTGTAGAATGATTTAACTAATGAAAAAATTGTATTTTGAGGGAAAATTACCTTGCTTTATTACATTTCTAACAAGAGTCTCTTCATGGGATGCTTTCTCTGTCAATGGTTCAATGTTGTCCCTCGGCTTTGGCTCTAGCCCACCTATTCCTCTCATCCCATCCCTCTTTCCTATCTTCTCTGTTATCCTGCCTCGGCTTTGCCTTCTCGCTTCCTATGGGTGCTTTCTTATGTCTGGATCCACAGTTGCAAAATGTCTACAATGCTCTCGTGAACTTTTGGCTACTAAAATAAAGATCATTGGTTTGAACCCACCCAACCATGCCACAAAAGAAAGTCCTGGTAATTTTCTCTGCAAAGATTTGAGCCAAGAAGAACCCTATAGAGTAGATCTACTCTGTTGACATAAGGAGTTGTCATACGTCAGAATCAACTTGATAACAGTGGCTTTGAGATTTTCGTTTTGTTATTTTTTATTGTCACACTGTGTGCCATCACGCTGGACTCTCACACGTCACCCTTCACATGAACACTTTACCATAACAATATGGTTTGCCTCATGTCTCCAAATCTACTCTTCACCAATTCCTTTCCTGGATTTGAACCAGCAAGCTTTTGGCTTGAAGGTTGAAGCTTACCAGAAAGCACCACAAGGGCTCATTTGTGACTTTAATAAGACCAAAGTGTCGCAGGTTGCTAGGATAATGTCACTTTAGAGAGGTAGGAAAACTAAGTTTGGGTGGCCTGAGTAACAAAGGTAAGTGCAGGTTTATCTGCGATTACTTCCTCCAGTTGCCTAATTCCAAATACCCAGCACACAATTTGTTTTAGGGAATTATAATCTGAGACGCTCTTAAAGTTAAAAAAACAAAAAAACTCATGATTTCTAGAAAGTGCCACTTTAACCAGTACAATATTTCAAGGTTAATTTTTTAAAACTATATTTGTAATTTGGGAGAGAATATAAGGGAAACAGACATCTAAATGTGGACAGTAGTTTTCCCTAAACTTTTCAAAAGATTGGAATGAGAATTTCATGCCAACTTGATAAATAATTATAGGGGAGGGGTTTAGCCTGCCAATCAGGTCACAGTCTGATGATCCCCCATGGTGAGTGTGACCTTCTCATGAGGATTCTGGGAACGTTATCTCTATATCTACTTCATTTTGCTGTTGACAAGCCATGTGGGGACATGCTGAGAACTGCTAGAACTCTGTAGATGTTTCCACTGCCACTGGAGCCACAAGACTCTGCACACCCACTGATCTTCCTGCATTTTGCATCATTGCATGTGTTATGTGAGTCTGAGGAGGAATTTATAGTCTAGTATCGGACTTATGGGCTAATATCAGACTAACAGACTCAATCTGGACTGTTCTGGGTTGTTTTCTTAATACACAATTACTCTGATATAAAGCTCTTTCTTATGCATATATGAGTTTTAATGAATTTGTTTTTCTAGTCAACCCAGACTAACACATTAACTTAAAATATATAAAGCTAACATGACCAACAATATAATTAAACAGAATCTGAAGTGAGTAAATGATATACAGATAAAAAGACATGGATTTTTTTCCCCAAAGATTTTTTGTGGGATTTAGTCTCCATGACCTAAGCAAGGCTTTTAATGAGTGCATTAAAATGCATTCTATATAGGTGAAAGTGAGGAAAAAAGTGTTGCTAGTTTTAGTTCATACAATCATAGGTTTGTTCCTAATAAAACATGCCTAAACATGTCTCTGCTGTTAGTGTGTATGGCTGCATATAAGTTCTCTCAGCAATAACACGTTTCTTGGTCTCATTAGGGTCCTTATAAATTAAAGATCCAATCGGAAGGGTAACATAAGAAGAAAACTGCTGGCCCCATAAATTCGACTCAGAGAGCTCATCACAGAAGGTTATAGTGACTGTTTATTTTGGGATTCCCAAGGAGTAACCTTGATAGATTTTCTCAATGACACGGAATGAACACAGGGCATATTAGGGGAAAAGTTTTAAGAAAACTGCAAGCTGCATTGATGAGAACATGTCAGGATGGTTTCCATGAGGATTTCCCCCCCATCACCCAACAGACTTGCTCATTCTTTGAGTGTAGCACATACCGTCCGATGAGACGTGCATTGTGAAAATGCTGCATTG